CCCTTTTAAATAATAATTATATTAACCCTCTTAGCTTTTTTATTCTAAGCTTATATATTAAGAGCTAAGGATTTATACTTAATACCTCTCTCTTATAGGTAGGCTATTACTCGGGGATATATCTCTATAATTTTATTATTATATTTAAATACCTTTATTATAATTATATATTATACCTCTAAGAGCTTAAAAAACTCCTTTATTACTAAGAATATAATCTCTATATAGTAATTTAATATATAATAATCCTATAAATAGCTTAATACCTTATTAATAAAGATCTAAATAGATATATAACTACTATAGCCTTATATTATTAGGTAGAAATCTAATATTATATATTCTCTTAGGCTTATTTCTCTAATTAATTCCTATAAGGCCCTCTAGATTATCCTCTATGCCTTTACTATACTATAGGTATTATAATTAATAATAATAATCCTCTCTAGGCCCTATAGGATATTTATTTATAGCTTAATGCCCCTTAAGGCTATAATAAGGTAATAAAGGATATTTAGCCCTAGGTATTTAAGCCTTTTATACTAAGTAAGAGAATCTCCCCTTAGTAATTACTATATTATGCGATTTATATATCTATAAGTCCTCCTTAGAGGGATTTTTAATACCTTATTAGCTATTAGCCTTATTATAGCTACTTAGCCTTATATAAGCTTATTTCTATATTTAAGGACTTATTATCCTTAAATCTCCTTAATTTCTCTTAAGTAATTTTTATTTATTTTCCTTAGGTAATTCCTTCTTAGCTTTATATCTTACTAAAAGCCTTATTTTTATAGCTTTAAGAAAGATACTAAGTTTATAATAAGGCTAAGGTAATAAGCTATATCTTAGAGTTATAACCTCTTTTTTATCCCTTTAGCTATTTTTAATATAATTATAGCCTCTATATATCTATTAATAAATACTTAATTAATTCTTAATTAAAAGAAATTATTTACTTAGGCTACCCTTAGATTCTTAAGTCTTAAGGTATCCCTAAAGATATATAATATTATACTTAAGTTTAATAAAATATAATCTTAGAGGGGATAATAATTAGCGGTTATAAGGGTAATTAAGTAGCTATTAGAGCTAATTAGCCTTAATTAAGCTAATTCTTTTATTTTAATCTTTTATATCTTATTAGCTAGGCTATTAATATTAAGGATTATTTTCTTTTTTATTACTTTTTCTTTAATAATATTTAATATATATCTTTAATATTTCTTTTCTAGGAAAATATTATAATAATTAGCTAATAAGTAAAATCTATTATAGGCTAAGTATATTAATTATTTCCTTATATCTCTAGTATTTTAAGCTCTTTTCCTCTCTTTTAATATTACCTTAGGCTAGCCTTTCTTTTATTAGGGTACCTCTTTATCCTCTAATTAGTCTCTACTAGCTATTAAGAAGGCTCTATGCCTAATTCTTTTCCCCCTTAGAGGTTCTTAAAGGTTACTTAGGGCTATCTTTATATCTATAATAATAAGAGCTATTATAAAGGTATTCTTTTTAACTTTATTTTATTTTATAATATTATAAGATCTATAATTTAAGGAGAGATAAATAAAATACCTCGAGGAGATCTAAGAATTATTAATTTATTTTTTTAGCTTCTTAAAAGCTTATATCCTTAGCCTTATTAATTAAATTATATTAGCTAATAATTTACTTATTAATAAATTAAATAATATTTAAGTAGCTTTAATAAGCCTTAATTAAATAATTCTTATATTTTTTTCTTATTTTTTATTTTTATTTTATTACTATAAATAAGAATTCTTTATATAAAGACTTAACCTATTAATTAAGATAATTATTTATTAAGTAATAATAATAAATAAAAGGCTTCTTTATTATCTCTAAGACCTAGTTTTATACCTTAATAATTCTTTTCTTTAGATTTATATATTCTAAATAGAGATACTTATAGAGGGTTTAAAGAGAGTTATATATCTAAAGCTAGGCCGCTATAAGGTTAGAGATAGCCTTAGCTCTTTAATTATTATTAGTATTATCCCCTAGGATAAGGTCTTCCTCTTAGAGGATATTACTTAAGCCCTAGGTTAATAATATCTTATTGCCCCTTTATAACCTTATTCTAGGTCCTTTCTTCTTTATATTTTATATTTCTAGCTTTACCGGGGGGGTTAATATAAAGGTTAGCTTATTCTTAGCTAATAGGTTAATATAATCCTATAGATCTTAGTTCTTTATTTCTACCTTAAGGATATTATATTAGGCTACTTAGTCGCTATTAGAGGCTAACTTAGTATTTATATTTATTATTATTATTCGGGGATTACTCGGCGGATACCTCTCGAGTTATTAGTAATTAGTCCTCTTTAATTAGTATATAAGACTCTTAATTATTAAAAGTCACTACTAAGCTAAATATATAGCGCGCGCTACTTTAGTTAGTGGTGCTTCCCTTATCATAGCCCTAGAGCTAATTTAATATGCCCCTTTAGCGTATAGGCACCGCCGGCATGCTGGCTTCTTTATTATCCCCTTATAGAGCCCCCTGAGCTTAATATATACTCTGGGATTCAAATACTAGGCCTTATTAAGCTAGATTTAAGAGCGAATAAGACTCTTAATTATTTAATTATGGGCTTATCCTTCGCCCTATTATAATTGCCTCTGCCTGTTATTCTTAAGGCTATTCCCTCTTTCCCTTCCGGGCCGCGACGTAGCCTTCCGGATTGGGACTAGCGTAGCCGACTTGCCGGAGATTAACCGGCCACAGCTCTCACGTGACCACCCTCAGAGCTATTGTATAGGATCCCGCTTGACAATTATATCGCTTAATAAAGTTAGAAGCCTAGCGCTTACCGATAGGTAATATATTCTAGTCGGCGAGTAGTTAATTAGCTATTTCTTCTATACCACATAGTCATAGGGGAAACCCTCGCGGGTCTAGGTCTAGGATAAACTAAACTATAATCTATTCCTCTAGATCAGATAATTTACGTGATTTAGGGGTAGTATCGCGCTGAGACTAAATGCTATTATATCGGCGCTATAGTATACTATAACTAACTTTATAGGTCTTTGCAGCGCATTTAAGACCTAGATTAGGGTTATTTTGATAGGCATAAAGTGCTAGAAGGATTCTTACCTCATAATTTGTCTGTGATATACTTAGTAGTAAAGAATTAATTAATTAAGTAGAGAAGGTAGAGGGTAAGGGATTTTTGATCTACTCACTTATTTGATCCACTTACTTATTATATATATTAACTAAGTAAGTAAGTAATAAGTAAGTAAGTAAGTAAGCCCGGCAGCTAAGTAAGTAAGTAAAGCCTCTAAGAAGCAAATAAGTAAGTAAGATCTAAGTAAGTAAGGCAAAACTATAAGCCCCGCCTATCTGCCCTAGAGGTTTTATAGTAGTAAGTAAATAAATATTTTAGGTTATAATTACTACGATATTAGCTTAGCCATAAGACTTAGTTCTCTCGGTTATTTAATATAGCTATAGACTTAGTTTCTATCTTAGTTATATCTAGCGAAAATAAATATATTTTTAGTGCCACAAAGCTTATTATATCTTTATAAATAAATGCCTTATACTAGGTTACTATAAAGGCATTATAATGCCTTAGAAACTAGGCATATAGTAATACGATTTCCTAGGTAAAGCCTAGGGTAGATCGGGATACTATGCTCTACGATAATTAGTTATTATATATAGATCTACTTTACTTATAAGTAAATAAATAAAGTAAGTAAATAGTTCGCGGTTATAAGTAAATAAGGATTTCATTAGTAAGTAAGTAAATAAGCCTAAAAATTTTATTTACTTTACTTATATAGAACGCTAACTAAGAGCAATAATTGCCAGCGAGATAACCTATCATTTGTGGCCTTACCTTTTCTCATCTCTCAGATCTACCTCTACATTGATTATCGCGTAGGTCTGATTTCACTTTCGAAAATGAGGTTTCGACATTAGTCTAGCGTCTGAGAAACATTCGAGTAATTAGTCAATGCATGCCCGTGAGCTCGGATGAGGAGATGTCCACGAGAAAGGTCATATCCTACGGTAACTGTAGAGTCCACCAATGGCCTCTTGGTATGGTATTTTTTAGCAAGACCGAGCTAAATAAGAACGAGCGATAGATGCTCGCCTACCCGTTTCGTGTGGGCGATATTACAGGGGTTGTTAGGTTGCCGATGACAGAAATACAAGTGCCGAGACCTAGAATTCCGCACGTCGCTCTCTCATGATATCTCCTCTTAAAAGTCCATGGTGATGACACAAATGCCATGTCAATGTCTTGGTTTCAACCCCGCCAGACATCGAGATGATGCATCACCACGGCACCCACTCTGAAACGACACCAATAACGTCCAGTGAGAGGCCGATCATGGCCAACTTGGGTGCGGGGACAGGAATTCCGCGTTGCACAAGAATGTTTCAAATCCGGTTCGGCATTTGCTGAGCCATTCACTGTCATCACCCCTCCCTGAATGTTGGGCACGTCAATGACCGTGACAAACTATCACTGCAGGTTATCGAGAGAAGCTATCCAACGCCGGTTCTACGCGTGTACGCAAAATGGAAGCTAGACAAAGACACCCTATGGCACTCGACATCGCGTCACGGTATTCGAAGCTGCAAAGGAGCTTGCCGAGGTAGGACCTGAGAGGTGCCTCCATCAAGGTTAGTCTATTGACCCTTGGGCTACGTATAGGTCGGCGCAGGCGTGCAGATTACACCAAATGCCTCTTAGATCCTCAAAGAATGGAACGTCCCAGAACGACTATGGGAGTTAGCCGCCTAGCCCACTCTTCTCGCCGTGCATCATTACTCGGACGGCAAGATACTCGCAATAGAGGAAGACTTTGGCGATAAGATAAGATCAAAATATAGAGCACCATTCATCGGTCTACACCGTGTCGATCTCCAGCTGGCCTTATATGAACGGTCACACTAACTGGGGGTGGAGTTTAAACTTAGGCAAAAGGTTATGCACCTCGATTTTAAAGAGACAATGATCATCACGGAATCTAGCTTGAATGCCAAAGCCGACCTCATTGTTGCCGCTGACGGGCTCTGGTCAAAGTATCGAGAGTATTTCCTCGGCATAAAAGAGCTTCCCTTACCAACTAGTGATCTGGCATACCGCATTCTCTTACACTTAGACGAGATTGACGACCCGCAGCTCAGAGACTGGGTGAGTAGGCCGGCAGTACATTTCTAGATCGGACCAGGATCACACGCTGTCGGATATTCTCTTCGAGCGGGTAATCTGTATAATATCGTGCCCCTAGTGCCAGACGACTTGCCAGAAGGAGTCAAGAGACAGACTGGGTCCGTCGATGAGATAAGAGCACTCTTTAAAGGATAGGACCCTATCCTTAGAAGGTTTTTAGATATGGTAAAGGAGGTGGACAAGTGGAAGCTGATGCACAGTGTGTTAATCTCCCGCCATCGCCAAGAGGGCTAGACTAACAGATACCCAGGGAGTGAGCTTCAGAACTGGGTCAACGAAGAGTCAAACCTCGTCTTTGTGTAAGCAGAGCACGGGTATCCTCGGCCAGGCCTGGATGCTAACTCTCTGCAGAGGCGATTCATGTCACCCCATGCTGCCGTATCTTGCCCAAGGTGCCAATTCCGCGATAGAAGATGGTGCCGTTCTTGGGCGGCTCCTCGGTAAGATCAAAAGTAAAGATCAACTGCCGGGCGCCCTAAAGATGTACGAAAGACTTCGAAAGAGCCGAGGAGATGCCTTCGTGAAGGAAGCGTTTAGGCAGGTAGGTAAACCACATTCATGGCCCTTCTTCTAACTGACTATTAGCAGCGCGACGCGTTTCATATGGAAGACGGCCCTGAATAACAAGCTCGAGATGAACTGTTCCTTTCATAACTGGGGAAGGAAGTATAGGCACCGTTTCCGAGCCGATGGACTTGTCCGGAAGTCTAGTATTGGCTGTATGGATATGACGTCGAGAAAGAGTTGGAGGAAGCAACAAAGGGGGAGTTTGCTAGGCTGTAGCATCGCTCCATCCTCGTTCTGTGGCCCAGTCTATGCCGTGGGTTATATACCTGATAAGCCCAGCGTAGTATACGCTTATTATTAAGTCTGTTAGGGAGCATGGAATATGAGATGAGTTTTATTATGCTAAGAGATTTCTGATTGGGCAGCCTTCGAGTTTCTGGAGCGCGACGATACGCACTTGAAACAATGCTACCTCGTGTTCGCTTGAGAAGCAGCTCGCGCTTGGCTGATACCAACCAAGTGTCAGAATTATAAGCTAACCAGCTGAATGATCCGCGGAGCCAGTCGCAAGGCGTTCACCTGAAAATTCTAGCGCTTCCCCCCAAAAAAGAAAACTCCTTGCCTCAGAAGACGGTAGTTTCTCACTGTTTGGTCTCAGACTTGTCCCTTTTCAGGCCCATAAACAGGGACAGCGGTCTGACCTTCTAGAGCTTCCAGGCCCGTTTCATACCTGATGCGGTTTCTTGAGGGCGTGGATGAGACGTTAGCCTGTCTCAATTTACAGAATATTTGGTCTGGTATCGCACAGCCTGTTGTATATAAGTCTTGCCGTCTGCCTTTTCTGCAGTCATCATCAGCTCATAATTACTCTTCTGTTCAAGTGCAGGTCACATCTATTCTTCCTATTTACTTTAATTATCACGAATCCTGGCGATTCAGTTGTCCATTCACTCTCCGCGCTTTCACTATCAGCTCTACCCAAACAGTCAACATGAAGTGGTCTGCAATCTTCGCTCTGGCCATCGCCGCCCACGGCTCCTTTGCACGTAAGTGATTAGCAAAGCCTGGCTCTACCCAACATGAACTGACTTCTTCACTCAAGTTCCTCAGACGAGGTTTCGTGGTGCCAATGGCGACAATGCCGGGAACGACGACAACAACAACAACGGCAACGTCGCCTCATTCGAAGGCCAGCCCTGCACCGACGGCACATTCGACGGCACCTGCGACGCCACGGGCCGCTGCGGTCTCGAAATCCCACCCAACGAGTTATCCAGGCAGTTTGTCGCCGACCAATGTGGCTTTGACAACTCCGAGACGGAAGAGGCGTTCCGGGATTTCTTTGGCGGAAATGACGAGGAGGAGGATAACAATGATGATGCACAGAACGGAGACCCGGCTGACTTTGAAGGTCAGCCGTGTACGGATGGTACATTTGATGGTGTCTGTGATGGTACGGGGCGATGTGGGCTTGAGATTCCGCCGAATGAGTTGTCGAGGCAGTTTGTCTCTGGCCAATGCGGCTCTTGAGACTTGTCAATGATGCACCCTGGATAGGACAGAACTGAATCGAGATTCAACCTAGGCACTCATCACGGTGGCAATACGTGGTACTTGCGACTTTGCTTCTCCTCAAGCAACTTCACTCCAGACTCAGGATTTTCCAGTTCCCGCCCGTGATATTGACTCTTTTAAGCCAAAGCCGAACTCATTCCGTGATTCGGGAAAGCCAGGAGGGGAAGATTTTGCTGAGCAGGCCAGTTTCACCTCAACCACGGGCATTCTTCCTGATACAATTGGCCGAAGTTAGTCTCGGGCATGTTTGGCAGATATGTAACTAATGAGTGGCTCAATGCAGCAGCTTGAGGCTGAAGGTGATGTTGACTCGGCTTTGGGCGACAATGCTGTATCGACCGAGTCGCTGAGTTCAAGCGCTCTGCATTAGAGGACCATCAGCGGCAGGACCAGACTTCTCAACAAGCAGTCAGTTATCAATCAGTACTGATTACTGACAAACACCACCATCAGCTCAGAACACATTTTTGAAAACACGTCTATTTTTGTATTCCCTATAGTTTACCTGTATCCTACTAGGCAATTACTATGGATAACGCGTCTAAAACGCGTCTATCTGTCGTGATGGCGCCTAAGTGGCCGCAGGTAAATAATGGCCCTGAATATATTAACGAGCACGCCGTATACCTCAGAGAAGCATGCAACTAATTGCAGGCCGTAGACAGAGGCAGGCAGAACCAAGTGCCATGGAATATAGTGCACTTATTCATTATATCTACTATAGCGCTCGCAGGTAAGGTGCTCTAGTAGCCTGCGATGAGCGAGATCCTCCACTACATCTAGGATACCGCTAAGTGCACGCAGAATATCTAACGAGATGTCTTAGTCATTAAAAACTCCGTGGGAATAGGTACTGCCCCGCTGAACTTAGCTAACTTCAGCGGCGGCAGAGCAGCAGCTGTAACCTGGGCGTAGGTAGCAGCACGGGTCAATGGCCCTTATCCTATACCACCGCTAATCCTATCAAACGCCTATTCCACTAAGACTTAGCCCATAGTTATAATATATAAAGATAGAGCAGTAACTATTAAGCTTAAGGATCGCGGGATTTCTCAGAGATTCTAAATGCTATCTATAATTATAATAAAATATAAAGTAAAAGCATTAATCCGGGAAAATATAGATACTAAGTTAATAGAGATAATAGCGGCATACTAGCTTAAGAGCGGCGATATATAGATCTTTATATCCTCCATAGCGGACGCCATAAAACTCAGGGAATACAGAGGGTGGATCAGCGGTCTTAGAGAATACGCAGAACTTATTATACTAACCTATAGAGTCATCGTTTATGGCATCTCCACGAATTCTATTAACGTTAAAGACCAGAAAGCAACTATCTAATATATACTCGCAAATAACTATATAATTATCCCTAAGGCCGAAATCTTATATATTAGGTAGTTAACTTAGGAATTACCCCTTAAGCGCATATCCTTAATTATAATAGAGTTCAAAGACCCCGAAATAGCTAACGCTATTATCTATATAGGAATAATATAGGAAAGATAGATCTATATCTGCTAGCTCTATAACCGCGCTTATAGAATAAAGTAATACTTCCGCTGCTATAATTACGATCATATCGGCGCTTAATGCGACGTAGCTTAGATATATGGCTATTGCGCCGAACTATACGAGACTAAGAACTATGGCTAGAAGGGAGTAAAAGGCTTTACTCCTAAGTGCATAATCTATAAAGGTATCTATATAGCATAGAGCAATGCCTGCCCGGAAAGGAAGAAAGAGATAGGTAAAGTAAAGTAAGCTAAGTAGATCTAGAATACCTACTAGCCCGTCTTCCCTAAAGAGGAACTACCTAAATATAATAATAAATAGGCAACCTATCGACACACACATAACTCTAATAGTAATCAAGCCATTACGATACTAAATACTCCCATAGCGGAACCCTTAGGTTAAGCAACTAATACCCTAGAGCCACTAATAAGATAGGTAGGATATACCTCTTAGGAGCCTTATATATTCCCGGAAACTAGAGTAATACTAGTACCTATCGATATACCTAGTATTAAGGAATAGGCGATACCGGCGACGTAATAAGAGGATATAGAGTAATATCCGCTTATCGACCTATAGATACTAGCAATAGAACTACCGCCCGCGATTACCCTCGTAGAGGACGATATCCCGGCCCTAGAGACTAATAAAATAACGCTAGTAAATATAGAGTCAGCTTAGCTATCTTTATATCCCCTTAATAGAATATAAGAAGAGTTTAATATAAACGACGTAGACGCCTAGCTAGCCAACATAGCAATTAAAAACGGTAATAATTAGCTACCTAACATAGCAGAAACCGATATAATAGGGACTAAGATATCCCCATTAACCTCCATAGCGATCGATACTTACACGGCTCAAGGGAAGATCTATAAAGCATATAAATACCCTTAGCACTAAGATATTTATAATACCTAGCCGATACGCAATGCTAACCTAGTTATCGCTATATACATAAAGATATATACCTACTATAGCAGGGACTATATATTAACGATAAACCTCCGGAAGCATATAATTAGGTCGAAATATAGCTATAGAAACCTAGAGATAATCGCCGGGAAGCTAAGATGAGGCTCCGCTATTACTCCTAGCTAGACCCATAGAGAACCCAAGGCTAGGTCCTCTTAGCCGGCAATGGAGCCTCTAGGATATCAACCGAACGCTAGGATAACTCAGAGTCAAGCTCTCACACATAGTACTATAACCGCCTCATATTAATAATAGAACACCGGGAACTACGAATCTTATAATATAATATTCAGAAGTTAAGAGATATCGTCATAGCTAGCCTATTCTAAGATAATAGGACTCTAAAATATGATATCCTAGCTATCTAGGAACCCTAGCGAAACCTAGTTATTATTATGTCCTATTACCCCTTAAAAATACATTTTTAATTAACCTACCTCGATAACGTAGGAACGTAGGTTTGCTTTTATATTAGTAAATGAATCGATTCCGGTACTTAATATATTTTATATATTTCTAAGGATATTATATTATTAAAACTCTCTAATCCCTATATCGATAAGACTATCTATATCTTTAATATCTATAACGAAGTAGGCATAGATACGATCTTAATACTAGCCGAAGCCATCCGGGAATTAGACCTAAATAGCGATACTATTATTCTTAGCGACTTTAACCTCCACCACCCTATATGGTCCGCAGAATACCGACGGTTAGGATATAGGCCAAGTGCCTAGCCCCTACTCGTAGTCATAGAGGAATTTAGCCTATAGCTGCTTATAATACTAGGTACCCTAACCTACTGGTGGAACGGTGGGGAAATAACAATTGACCTAACCTTTGCCACGGGGGTCATAGTATCCTATATGATCCACTATAGGATCGATAGGAACCTAGATTGCGACTCTGATTACCTCCTAATTTCACTAGCGATTAATTGGGACTAGAAACCAGCGATTATAGTTAGGAAGCGCTTATAGGCGAAGACTAATATAATAAAACTTCGATATACCATTAAATAATACCTTCCGTAGCTATATAATAGCATAGAATTGAACGATAAGGAAAGCATCGAGGGACTAGTATTATCGATCGTTAATGCACTAGAGGCAAGTATCGAGGTATTAACCCCGTGGTCTAACCTATCTCCCCGATCTATGGCCGGGTTTAACTAGGAGTGCAAACAAATCTGTATAGAAGTTTAGTAACTCCGGCGAATGTGGCAGCGGATAAGGCAAGAAGATGACTACGAGGTTTACCGCTAGGCATGCAATAAGAAAGGTCGATATATTCAAAAACTCCTCTGCGATACTTACCGCGAAAGAGTAGAGGAGGCTTCCTTATTATAGCAGGGTCTATAGAACCTAGTTAAATAGGCTAAGAATAGGCATAATACGGCGGCAATATGCACCCTGGCGCTAGTTAAACTAGACGGAGAGCTTACCTAGTAGCCCGAAGAAAAGGCTAAGGTATTATACTAGTCTTTCTTCCTGCCTCTATATTAAGCGGACCTCTTAGACGTAGAAGGATATATATATCTACCCCTAATTAAGTACCTAGATATAACTATGCCTAAGATTGAAAGAGTTATATAAAGAGTAGCCCTAAATAAGGCCCCTAGTATTAATAGTATTATTAATAATATATTATATTAAATACTTAATATTCTCCTCTTAATACTCTATATACTCTTTAATATATATCTTTAGTAGGGATATTACCCTATGTACTTTAAGGATTTAGTTATAATAGTCCTATATAAGCCTAGAAAAGATAACTATATATAGCCTAAAGTATATAGACTTATTGCCCTCTTTAGTACCCTAGGGAAGGTATTAGAGGCTATTATTATTAATTAGCTAGTATATCTCGCTAATATTTATTAAGTATTTCTTAGCTAATATATAAGAGGCTAGAAACTCGCCTCGATAGAATATATAATATACTTCTTACTCTAGCGAATATATAAAGTATAGGCGGAAGGTAAAATAGCCTCTCTCCTATTACTTGATATATCTAGAGCATATAATAATATATCCCGAGAATAGCTTCTCTATAACCTCTGGAAACAGCGGGTCTACTAGAATATAGTATATTAGATAGACTTATTCCTATGTAATAGATCTACTATACTTAAACTATAGGAGTATATAGCGCCCTCGGCGCCTATCTAAATAGGAATTCCATAAGGATCACCCGTCTTATTAATTCTCTATCTCTTCTATAACGCGGACCTCATCGAGGCATATAAAACAGAAGACACAGAGGCAGTTAGATATATCGACGACGTATCTATCCTGGCAGTGGGCCTAAGCGCCTAACGTAACTATAAGACTCTCAAAGGCATCCACCAAAAGGCGGAAAGATAGGCAGCGAAGTATAGGTCCTAGTTCGCACCCGCTAAGTACGAACTTATCTACTTCACGAGAGACCTGAAATTAAACTATACGTATACT